ACTCTTCCATGTCACCCTGCGTCTGCACTTGCTGTGTTATGCCTAGAATGTCCTTGTTCTTCACTTGGCAGATTTGCTCTTCAAAATCCTGGACTGGATGTCTCCTATGGGAAGCCCTCCAGGATTATTGCTCCAGGCCACTGCTGCTGTGGGCTTCTGGGTCACACAGTCACAATGTGCCGGCACCTGTCACTTCTGCCTCTGATCTTGGGGCAGACCTAATTTGACTTGATTTGTCCTTTCTGTAGTCTGTAGGCTTGGCACAGACTAGGAGCTTATTGATTGAATACTGCTTTTGTGGCCTTATGTCTGCCTGACAATGTGGAGCTGCTGGTTGATCTTAGCTGATACATGCTCATGGATTAAACAGATCACAAACCTCATTTCTCAAGGTTCTGAGAAAACTTGGCATTTCTTGCAAATACACATTGCTTGCCACCCACTCCAGAGACAGCAGAGGATGAGCCCCTGACAGGTTCAGAGAGTCTTGGTGCTGAGAGCTGGTGGATGTAGGGCTTGGGAGGGCTTAGGGCCTTCAGCTTTGCACCTAGGAACCCTCCATCCTCAGGAGCCTCCTTTTACCCAGGCTGCTGTGGGCTGGGACTCTCACTGGGGAGAGGCACAAATACTCTTTCCCCCTTCAGCTAATAGATGCATCATCTGTAGTCATGGGTCATTTTAGGCCAATTCTTTCCATTATAAAAAAAGTTAAAATTTTATGACATGTATTCCACAAATACCATGGGGGAATACACACAAGTACAAAACACCTGTAATCTTGTTTAGACATTGATGTATATGAGCTTCCATTCTCTTCTAAGCATGCCTGTTTAGTAACGTAAGGCAAGATGATGATGATGATTATTTTACTTACTCTTTTTTGATTAAACTCTGTGCATTTATGTAAAAGCTCTGAGAAGTATATGATACATAAACCCTGTGCACCCCTACCACTGATAAGCTGAAGGGCAATGTGTCAAGACCCATGCTATGAGACCCAGTAAGACCATATCATGAAAGGGACTTCTTGCCTTTTTTTGCATCACACTGAGGCAGCAAGAGCTGAAACTCTTAAAACATAAAGGCCCCTCCAAAAAAAGTTCAAAAAAGAAAAACCAAATCATATTTTGCCACATTTAGAAAGAGTATAGTTGGGCAATGTTTACAGAATCATTAATGCAACATCCCTTGGACACACAGTCTGATTAAATTTGGGCACTACTGGTTCCCAAAAGCGTCAAACTTTTGAAGTATAGGCTATAGGGGGTATCAGTTCCTAAAAGCACTTCATCAGGTTGCATATACAACTTGTGTGGAAATATTGTGGGTGTAACCTGGCATACAACCAGAAGTTGGTGCATTTATTCATGGGAATGAAACCAAAGCTAAGCTCAGAGATTCCTAGCAGCCAAGGCAATAAAATGAAGTAACATAACATAACAGAACATGGAAGCATAAAAGGTCAGAGAGCTCTCAAATTGCAGAAGAGGAAGCAAACCAGATTGGCAAATTGCTTGAGCTTTTCTAGTTGACCTCTGGAGGGGAGAGGTCGCAGGACCTTGCGTAAGAGTGTTGTGTAAGGGACGGTTTCACTGAAAGATACAGGAACTGCTTGGGTTTTCCTCTTGTCATGCTGACCGTTGAAAATAGCTGAGGGCATGTTGATTAACTGTACTTCTGGGAAGGCATAGTTTTGTAGGAAGCCTAATAAATAACATGATCAAGTGTTATTCTGGTGATTTCCTTTGCTGGAGATTGCACAAGCACATGTTAGTTGATATGGCCCTCACATTGTGCATTCTTGGAGTATCATTTCTCTGTCTTGACCATGTTGGAGGTCATTTTTCAGGTGAAGAAACTGAGGCTCTGAGAGATGAAGTGACACTACCAAGACTTGTACCCCAGTCCTTTTTACTGTGCCCTGGAAGAAAAGGTGGAAGTGTCTAAGCATGTCAGGTGTTTGGGTCCTGCTGCTATGTAGACACCACCTCATCCAGTCCTCTGCTAATCCTGTTAGGAGTCCACTGTTTTACTTGAATTTACTGAGAGGTAGGCCATAGCCCAAAGCCACATAGATGGAAGCTGAACGGGGCTTCCTCATCTGGGTTTGCTGATGAAACTTCTGGAAATGTAATCATTCAATGGAATTACACACAAACTGTTCGCATTTGTGTTATTCTTGGGGATAGGCAAGAAAATAGCTTTTCTCAGAGTCTCAGAATGCCACACAAGAAAACTCCACCAAACATCTGTGCTCAAGGAAGGAGTCATAGTCACAACTTGTATTGACTGAGCCCCAACCAGGGGTGGCACAGGCAAGAATTGGGTGACCTTATCATTCCTATGGGCTTTGGGTATGTATCACCCCATCTTTCAGGCTGCGCACCAGTCAGTGGCCTTGCCTGATGACAGGTTTCAATTCTTGTCCACCATTGCATATGGTGGCTGGGCTTGTCCTAGTGATGAGTGTGTTTTTTTTTTGTCCTCTGGGGTTGCTGAAATTGTTCAGAGGCAGAATGACGGGCTGTGCTTCAGGAGCTTGATGCCTGTGTCCAGGTTGCTTCCATTCCCTGATACTGGGGACAAGCCTGGCTGGTTGATGAAATGAGTGAGTGAGTGAGTGAGTCAAGAAGGCAGTGCCTCTTCCTCAGTGCTCGAGGTTGGGAGGCATTAGTATGTCTCTGATGTCTTAAAAAAATTGAAGTAATGTGGGTTTTTATGTAACATATAGGTTTCAGATGTACATATATGTCAATATCCGTTTATACTATGGTATGTTTGTCACCAAAAGTCTGGTTTCCATCCATCACCATGTAGCTGTTCTCTCATCAAATTGTTCTCTCCTCTTCTCTTTCCCCTCTGCTACCACCCATCTCTTCTCTGTAGCCGTTTATTTTTGTTGTGTTGTGTTCATTTGTTTTGTGTTTTTATCTCTACATGAGTGAAATCATGTGGCGTTTGTCTTTTCTCCTTCTGGCGTATTTCACTACGCTTAATATAGGTCCACCCACGGTGTCGCACATGGCAGAGTTTCTTCACTTTGTAAATAGCTGAGGAGTTTCCGTTGTCTCTGCAGACCCCATCTTCTTTCTACGCTCATGCATGGATGGACACTTAGGTTGTTTCCAACTCTTGGCTCTTGTCAGTAACACTGACAGTGAACACAGGGTTGCAGGTAGCTCTTCAGGTTAGATTTTCTTGTATTCTTCGGATAAATACCCAGCAGTGGGATAACTGGATCATACGGTATTTCTATTTTTAATTTTTCGAGGAATCTCCATCTTCTCTTCCGCAGGAGCTGCACCAATTTCCATTCCCACCAACAGTATATGAGTGTCCCCTTTTCTCCTTTTCCTCATTGGTACTTTTGTCTTCTTGATCATGGCTGTGACTTTTATTTGGAGTGACAGGTCACTGCAGTGTTCGAGAGAATTCCTGGGGGAGCTGAGGTCAGGCCTGATGCTCTCATGTCCCAGGTGGTGGAGGGGGCAAGAGGGACTGCAGGAATCTCTGAGCTCGTGTCCTTCCTCCTAGGCCGGCTGTGGTGAGTGAGGGGTGGGTGTGTAGCCCTCCTGTGGCCCATGACAGTCTACAACTTGACTTGTGGCAGCCTGTCTGCTGTGCTGACCTGGCAGGGCCCCCAATGACTGCTGCTCTACTACCCAGTACCTCTTGAGTACCTGGCCCAGCTCAAGCTGCTTGACCTGCATAGTATCGAGCATCCTAGTGTGAATTGTACCCTTAAATATAGCCCAGCTGTGGGGCCCAATTAAGAGCAACAGCCAGCAGCAGCAGCCTCATCTTATGGCTGAGGCCACAACTAGTGAGTGCAGGGTCTGAGTCTTAGGTCCCATACATTGCTGCCTCCACACACTTACATCTCCAGAAGTCTCTGGAAGATGAGTCAGACTCTGGAGGCCAATTCTCCCTCCTTTGGCTAGAGAGCTGGTGCTTGCCCATTTGGGTCATGGATGAGGTTTTCCTTCCCGTTTAGAGAGAGCAGGTCTGGCTGACTGCCCCATGGGCAGCGTGGCTGCCTCTGCTATGCTTGGTTGGTGAGGCTTGACCACCAGCTGGGCCCAGGACCCAGAAGTGGGCCTGTGATTCTGGGAAGTGCAAGTTGAGGTTTGCCGCCTCCCCTGTTCCACTCACCTGGATCTGAACTTTAAGGAAAATGAGAAGCTTTCTTTGCACATGTGGCAGGAGCCCAGAGCAGAAGAGTGGCGGTGGGGTCGAACCAGAGAGTGAGGCCTGTGTCTGTGCCCACGGCTCTTGTAATTTGTTACTTGAACTGTCCTTTTCCATGCCCTGCACTTGGCGGGGAACCCCTTGAGGCATGAGTCTGGTTGCTCTTCGGGCCTGCTGCCTGTTGGATATATGTGTGTTGAATGAATGAATGCATGTGTGCTTGCCTGAGTGTCCTAGGAGTTAGGAAACCTGCTTTCCAGGCCAACTCTGCCCCTAATGTCTTTGTTGCCTGAGTTAGTCACATGTCCTTTCTTAATCTCAGTTTCTCCACCTGAGCTGGTCTTCCAGGCCCTGATGTTCTGGTGTTCCAAGTAAGCAAGGGCCTTGGCCTCTGGAGGCTGGACAGGTGCTGGGGTTCTGTGAGAACATGCCTGGCTTGTGTGCAGGCATAAGGAGTCTGCTGAGCCTTCTGACAATGGAACACAGGACAAGGGACAACTAGCAGATGAAGAGGGGCAGTAAGTTGGACAGACTGGAGGAGACAGGGAGAGTGCAGACTTGGCCAAAGTGATTGTTTGCTGAAGCTGCAGATTTCCTTGGTAACTCGGTTGGTTTTGACTTTCTGAAAAATAATGCTCTCAATTAACTCCTGGGTATGACAGCCTCTTGTGAGGGATGGGATGACATTAGGGAGAGGGTGGGTAAGGCAGACTGGGCAGGCCCTGGGGCAGGAGGAGAGACAGGGGTAGGGTCTCCCCTCTGGTGTGTTACATACCCCTACTCACTGCTGCTTTGCCTTATGTTTTCTGCAGATCATCATCGAGTTCTGCCCCGGGGGAGCTGTGGATGCCATCATGCTGGGTGAGTCTTCCTAGATCTGCAGGTAGAGCCAGGGTTGGCCCTATTGAGAATTGGGACCCTTCTTTCCTCCTTACAGGAATTTGCATGGCCTGTGTGAGCACTTCCCCGCTCTGCCCCCTTTCAGGACCAAGGTTGGATTCTTAGAGACACTTGTGACACTCACTGGAAGGCCATCACTTCCCCTTCAAGAAGTCACGTGTCCTTGAGCTGGTCACTGGCCTTCTTGAACCCTCTTGGCCAGAGGTCAGTGGCCGATGCCTTCTTTGCCTGCCCCTATAACACTTTTTTTGAAGTGAAAGTGAGACACCTAATGGAGGTTCTTTGAAAAGTGGGGACCCCCACCCATTCTGTCAGAGCTCCAGGAGGATGTGACCTCAGGAAAGTTTGACTGACAACAATAAAATAATACATGTTAGTAATCATCAATGTATCACGACTACTCTTTGTGTGCCAGAGATGGTGCTGGCTGCTTTCACATATCTTATCCTCTTGTATAAAATCAGGCAGAGTATCTCTGATTTATTCTCTACCAGGCAGATATGTATAGGTTAAGGAGCTGGTCCAGAGCCTCATAAAGAGCTGATATGTGAACTCAGGTCTACATGACCCCACTCGTCACTTGCTCATCCCATGTCATCGCTTGCTCCTGCCTGGAATGCCACCACTGGGAAGTGAGTGAGGGAAGACTGAGGATTGGGGGCCAAGAAGCTTGAGTGATGCGTCTAAAGATTCTGGGGTGAGGGGCCTCCCTGTGGCCTAGGGGTTAAGTCTCAGTGCTATCACTGCTACAGCCTGAGTTCAATCCCCAGCCAGGGAGCTAACCCACATATGGTACAGCAGACCTCTCTTGTCTTGCCCACTGCTCCTCTTAGCAGTGTATTTCAGTAAGTCTGCCTGTTTTGCTCCTCACTTTGTCTCTGGTGAATCCTCTCACCGTCCCCCAACCCCTGCACCTCTGGCCTACTCCCCAATTCTTCTACAAAAGTAAAAATAAAAATAAAAACAAATAAAAGGCAGGGGATATAGAAAGGGGGATTTATTTGCATAAAAAAACTAATGAGTTCAAGGGGACTGGCTTCAGGCACAGCTTGATCTAGGAATTGTAAAAAAGTTGTCATAAAGATTGGTTTCTATCTCCAACTCTTTGCCCCACTTTCCTCTATATTGGCTCCATTCTCATGTTGGTTTTCTGTTCTTGTGACAAGATGGCTGTGGGAGCTCCAGCCATCACAACTGAATTCCAAACAGCATGATAGAAGAAGGGAAGGTAGAACAACTACACACACACACACACACACACACACACACACACACACCCACTGTTGCTCTTTTAAGAAGACTTCAGAAAAGCCTCACATGACATTTCCATTTACATCTCTTTGGCCAGAATATATAGTAAAATACAACTGGAAAGGAGGCTGGGATATGGTTATTCCTAGTTTGGGCCCCATATATTTAGATAGTAAAAACGAAGGGAAGGTCAAAGCCAGCTAGCCATATCTACCTGTCTGGTTTGCAGCTTAGCTAAATGAGCCTTGTGTACAAATGTCAGAGATAGGAGAGGCATCTAAATATCATAGATCCTTACCTCATTCGCAGCTGGGTGTGACCCCAGACCATGGCACAGCCAGTGGGCAAAATCACCTTTTGACTCCCTGTCTCAGTACTCCTGCTGGAACTGACTGTTCCAGTCCAAAATAGTTTCTCCTGTTGGTGGGAGCATTTAAAAGAAAATTGCCATCAGTATTCTAGAAATCAGAGACCCCAAATAGCCAAAGCTATCTTGAGAAAGAAGAACAAAGCTAGAGGTGTCATGTTCCCTGATCAAAGTATATATGCAGTACTGCTAATCAAAACAGTATGATATTGGCATAAAAACCAGTGCATATATAGTCAATTAATTTATGACAAAGGAACCAAGGACATACCCTGGAAAAGGAGAGTCTCTTCAGTACATGGTGTTGGTAGTCTGTATTTAGCCTGTGAATGGTGTTATGAAAACTGGACAGCCACATCAAAAGAATGAAACTGAACCATTCTTTTATACCATATGTTAAAAATTAACTCAAATTGGGTTAAAGGCTTGAATGTGAGACCTGAAACCATAAAACTCCTAAAAGAACATATAGGCAGTAAATTCCTTGACATTGGTCTTGCTGATGATTTTTTGGATCTGACTCCAAAAAGCAAAGGCAACAGCAGCAATAGAAACCCAAAAATACACAAGTGGGACTACATCAAACTAAAAAGCTTCTGCACAGCCAAGGGAACCATCAACAAAAAGAAAATATTTGCAAATCAAAAATCTGATAAGGGATTACTATCCAAAATCTATAAAGAATAATTTTAATGCAATAGCAAAAAATAAACACCCAATTTAAAAATCGGCAGTAGATCTAAATAGGCATTTTCCTGAAGAATATGTAGATGGCCAACAGGTATGTGAAAAGATATTCAACGCACAATCTTTGGGGAAATGTAAATCAAAACCACTGCTAAATGACCATTATCAAAAAGACAAGGTATTTTTTGTGCTGGAGAGTGTGTGGAGAAAGAGGAGACCAAGTGCACTGTTGGTAGAAATGTAAACTGGTGCAGTCACTGTGGAAAATGTTATGGACATTCCTTAAAAAATTAAAATACACCTCACTCCACAATTGTGGTAGAAGTTACAGAGTTGCCCAGGTCGTGCATCAACACAGCAGGCTAGCTCAGTTCATTGACCTGCCAATCCACTTTGGAGGGAGGCTGGAAAAGTCGTCACACAGGAAAAGTGTTCATTCTTTAAGGTGAAGAAGGAAAAAAATAGAACTATTGAGTTGATAAAGTAATCTCTGAATTTGTGGGAGTAATTGGAAAAGTAATTGCCAACGCAGCCATTATGTGTGCATCCTATGTCCAGTTTAAAGAAAATAAACATCTGTTTGAGTTTGAACTTTACAATGAGACTGTGAAAATTACTCAGCTTTTTCCTTTGGGGGTTGTGCAATAAAATTGATCTTGATGAAATATTTATGATTGCAAATGAGCTCCACTAAAGGCTATTAAAGGAGGCCCCTGTGATCTCCAGGAGGAGAGACTCTGGTGATTTTCACCATCTAATAATGTCTTCTCTTTAAGTCCACTTACTTAACTTTATTAGATATTCTAATATGCCATTTTTGTTAGAACTGGTATATGGATAGTTTTTACCTAAGCCCCCATAAAAAGAAGAAAGTTTTTCTTCTCCATTATATGGTCAAATCGGATGCAAGAACAAAGCAATTTTCTGAGTTTAGTTTTTTCTTTTATTAATAAAAGTTAAACTGATTTTAAAAAAAGGAAATACAACAATTGTGATCAATTTCACCTCTGAAGACAATAAAAACACCAACTTGAAAAACAAAATACACATATGTCCTCCCACGTTCATTGAAGCATTATTTATAATAGCCAAAAAGTGGAAGCAATCTCAATGTCCATGAATGAATGAATAAGGAAACTGTGAAAAATGGAAAAAAAATGTGGTATGTATATATACAATGTAATATTATTTAGTCCTTAAAAAGGAGGAAATCTTGGCCATTTGCAACCATGTGGGTGGACCTTGAGGGCATTATGCTAAGTAAAGTAAGCCAGAGATGAGCTCATTTATTTGTGAATCTATAAAAACAAAATCAGGCTCCTACCTCAGAGAACAGATTGGTGGTTACCAGAGATGGAGGGTGGGTAAAATGGGTGGAGTCAAAGGATACCTTTAGTTATAAAATAAACAGGTCATGGGATGTAATAGACGGTGATTATTGTTGCTAAACCTGTAGTGTATATTTGAACATTGTTAAGAGAGTAGATCTTAATAGTTTTCATCACAAGAAGAAAAATTGTAACTAGATATAGTGACAGATGTTGACTAGACTTACTGTGGTGATCATTTCATACCATACGCAAATATTGACTCATTATACTCTACACCTGAAACTAATGTGATGCGTCTATATCAATTATAGCTCAGTACAAAACTAAAGGCAATTTTTAGAAATTGTTGCAGGTAATTTCAGAAGCAACATAAGAATAGTCACTGTTCATCACTCTTCTCCATGCTGAGAAGTTACCTTGAGGGTTATGGAACCTTGCCTACACAGATCATCATCGTTCATTTTACAGACCAGGAAATGAGACACAGAAAGGGAGTGACTTGCCAGAAACTATACAGCTATTAAGAGGCAGGACTTGGGATCAGGCCTAGTCTGTGTGACCCCCCCAAATCCCTGTAGGCTCTGAGGCTGACCACTGAGTGGAGGTGGGCAGGTTAGGGATGCGGTTGTCAGGAGGAGGAGCAGTTGTCAACACACGAGAGAGTGATCCCTGACTCAGGAGCCCTGCTCTGGGGCTGGGCTTCTCAGAGTGGGTGGCAACAAGAGCTGAATAATGACCATGACCTTGTGGGCAATGAGCATACGAGACTGTCCTTGAATCTTTCATGCCCTTCCTCCCACCTCATCTACTTCCCCACATTCTGTCTTTCCCATCTCCTTAACCCATTGAGTGGAGAAGGCTTGCTCTTCCCTGTGGCCACCTCCTGGCCCTCCTAGACCACCCTACCAACCGAGCTTCCTGTCTGCTCTTTCTCCCTGGCAAACTTTCCATTCCAGTGCACTGGAGGGGATTTTTATTTTTTATTTTTATTTAAGATTATTTATTTATACAAGCACTGAGTACAGTCAGAAGTGTGGGAGGGTGAGAGAATTTACCAGAGCCAGAGCGGGGAACAGAACAGGCAGACTGACAAAATACACTGCTAAGGGGAGCAGCGGGTGTGGCAGAAGAGGTCTGCACGCCACGTGGGACCCTTACCGGCAGCTGGGGATCCAACTGGCATTGCAGAGGCTGCAGGCAGCTTCGCAGCCCAGCACTCAACCGCTGCGCCACCAGGGGAGGCCCTGGAGGGTATTTTTAAAATGCAATCATCAGACTTGTGTCTCTGGCTTGCTTCGGGCAATACAAGGATTGCCCCTTGTATTTCAGATAAAATGCAGCCTCCATAGCATCTGCCCACCTCTGACCTCAACTTGCTTTCCCTTCAAGCCAACTGAATCCTTTGCATATGCTGTTCCCCTGTGCAGGATAGTCTGAGCCACACCTGCTTCGAGAAGAAGGGCTCCAGCGTCCTCATGTGGACACTGGGCTGTATGTGGCCTGTGCGCATGCCTGGGTGTATCTCCACATAGCACACAAGAACACCTTAGAGATGGCCCTGCTGCCTCACCTTCCACATCTCCAGCACCACTGTTGCCAACCAGTTGAAATTTCTTCCACACCAGCCTCCAGGCCTTTGCTTCTACTGATTTATTGACCTGGAATATCCTGATCCCACCTTTTCCCCTCTCAAGGTCACAGCTGGAATGCCCATTCCTCTGGGGAGCCTCCCAATCTGCCCAGGCACAGGCGCTTGTTGCCCTCCTGCACCTGCATCCTGCTCCGTTCCAAGCACTGCTTAGCATTTCCATACCCCGCTCTGCACCCCGGCACCAAGTACCTATCTGGCATCTCTCAGGGCCTGCTCAGGGATCTCTGCCTCTGAGCAAGGTTGCATTTAGGATCCTGAGCTCTGCAGCCACATGGCCTTGAGCAAGTGATGACCTCTCTGAGCATTGGTTTCCTGGTTTCCTCATCTGTAACATGAGTGTATAATTGTGTCTGCTCCATAGGTTATTATAAAGTATGTGAGGTGCTCAGAAGGGAACCAGGTCACAGCAGAGGCTCATTAGTGTTGGTACCTGACAGCGCTGACATGCAGTTACGTGCAGTGAGCTCTTGCTGAATTGACAGCTATTCTTCCCTCAATTTCTAGAGCTGGACAGAGGCCTCACTGAGCCCCAGATTCAGGTTGTATGCCGCCAGATGCTGGAAGCCCTCCATTTCTTGCACAGCAAGAAGATTATCCACCGGGACCTGAAGGCTGGCAATGTGCTGATGACCCTGGAGGGAGATATCAGGCTGGGTAAGTGGCTGCAGCGGGAGGGTGTCCTGCTGGGGTGTCAACCTGACTTCCGGGCAGAAGGAAATAGGTGTGGGGCCTCAAACCCTTGGCAACTGGGCACACGGTTCTTATTGACTCAGTGTAACCCTGTGGTTCCCAACCAAGGACAATTTTGTCCCCCTGGGGACATTGCCAATATTTGGAGATGTCTTTGATTGTTACCCCAGGGGTAGAGGCGAGGCCACTGGCATCTAGGGAAGGAGAGTAGAGGCCAGGGATGCTCAGCCTCCTTCTGGACACAGGACAGCTCCTTACCCACCGCAAGGCGAGGGTGCCCTTGGGGAGGCTGATCACTTGTGTTCCCAGTTGAGCGGATCCCCCAGAGTGGCCGGTGGGGAGGGGTCCGGGGAACAACACGACCCCACACCTTTTCCAAATGCAAACTAGTACATCAGGCACATGTGTCAAAATCTCTTATTTTGGGGGGTCCCCACTCTTCTTTCTACTTTTCCATTGTGAAATACACAAACATAAAACGTATTGTCATAACTATTTAAAGTGTGCAGTTGGCACTAGTGTATTCACAGTGTGTATAACCCCGTCCTTCTCTGGAACTCATTTTGTCTTCAAGACCTGAAGCCCTGTCTCCACTGAACACCCACCCCCCTCCCCTTTCCCCTTCCCCTCCATGTCTCTGTGCAGCCGGCCACACTGGGAACCTCACACGAGTGGATTCACACAGTATTTGTCCTTTCGGGGCTGACATCTCACTTTGCATCACGTCCTCAAGATTCATCCACATTGTAGCATGGGTCAGACACTGTATTTTTAATCCATTTTTAAATTTTGTAAGATTTATTTTTTTTTAAAGATTTTATTTATTTATACAAGCACTGGGTACAGTCAGAAGCGCGGGAGGGTGAGAGAATTCACCAGAGCCAGAGTGGGAAGCAGAGCAGGCAGACTGATAAAGACACTGCTGAGGGGAGCAGCAGGCGCGGCAGGAGAGGTCTGCGCGCCATGTGGGACCCTCCTCTGGTGGCCTGGGAGCAGCCAGGGATTTGAACTGGCGCTGCAGAGGCTGCGGGCAGCGTCGCAACCCAGCGCTCAACTGCTGTGCCACCGGGGAGGGCCAAGATTTATTTATTTTTATACAAGGACTGGGGTACAGGCCAGAGGCGCAGGAGGGTGAGAGGATTCGCCAGAGACAGAGTGGGGAGCAGAACAGGCAGACGGACCAAAATATACTGCTGAGGGGAGCAGCGGGTGAGACAGGAGAGGTCTGCTGCACCATCTGGGAATTTCCCTGTCCGGCCGGGAATTGAACCCGTGCTGCAGAGGCTGCAGACAGCTTCACAGCGCTGCGCTCAACCCACTATGCTATCGGGGAGGCCCTTTTAGTCCGTTTTTAAAAACCAAAATCACACATCCAAGGCTGCCCATCGCATCCTCTGCCATTCAACGCTGGAGACAGTCACTTTGAACTCGTCTCATATTTACTGCCACGTGCTCAGTAATATGCCTGTAATGAGTGTTATTGTTATGAAGAGATAATATCAGTTTATTATACAAAGCTTACATAGTCCAGGAAGGTTTAGAAGAGAAAGCCAAAATGGGCCTTCAATCTCATTATCCAGATATTGACCCTGGACCTCATCCCAGATTCCCCTGGTGCGTCTCTGGCATGGACAAATGTGCAGAGGGAAAGAGGATTTAGAGTCCTGTTAGCCATAGCTGATGCACTTTTATTTGTCACTTCTATTAATTCAATTGCATTTTCTATTAACACCCTTCTCATTCATCAGTACCCCCTTCCTCAACCCTGGGCTTTCAGATAGAAGTAGCTCTAGTTGTAGTTCCTCTGGTGGTTACCTCTGGCTCTCTAAGGAACATTTAAAATGTGTCTGTGAGCACCTGTGTTCGGGACGCTCAGGACACAGAGCTGGGACAGAAATGGTGCTGTCTAGCCAAGGACACCCTCCAGAGCAGGGGGCAGCACAGAGGGTGAGGCCCTGCCCCCAGTCACCGAGCTGGCAAAGACAGGGTCAAGACTGACCCAGGCTGTCATACAGGGGGTCTCATCACTGCTCTCATGTCCAGAAGTGCTTGAGCTGACAGGTTAGGCTGGGGCTGGTGGCTTGTCAGAGTTAGTGTGTTTCCAGTTCGTTGGAGGGCTGTTACTCAGATTGTCACTGCAACTCCAGAGTTTCTGTCTGGGCTGGGATCAGAGAACTTGCATTTCTAACAAGCTCCTAGCTGAAGCCGCCGGTCTGGAGGAGACGTGCTGAGACCCACTGCTCTAGACACTCATTGCCTAAAGTGTGGCTGGTGGCAACAGGGCATCACCTAGGAGCTCCTCAAAAACACTCCTTTGTCCAGAGGGCGGGGCTGGTTCTGTCGGCAACATGAGCTTCTCACGTTGGGCGGGAGAGGGTCAAACACCATTCTGTGTCCTGAAGACCATGATACTTGCAGGGGCTGTGACGCCTGGGGCTCAGCTCACATGTCCTGCGGCTGCTCCTCACTCCTTCTCTTAGCTGTCGTGCTTCAGAGCATGTGCTGTGCATTAGCTGTCTGCAGAGCTCAGCCCTGTGCTGGGCTTAAGTCCTCCCCCTGCAGAGCTCCCAGGCCAGTGGGGACAGATGGGAGCACCAGGGCTGGGGAGGCAGCTGGTGCTGGTGGCAGAGGGTACAGGGTTGTGGTCTGGTCCCCCATCTGGGTGTGGAGGGTGGGAGTTTAGTAGAGGCTTCTGTGAGAGGGTTGTTTGAGCAGAGTTCTGGAAAGTCTCTAGGCATTTGCAAGGTAAACCAGCTGGGGCAGGGCGGTCCAGAAGAGGAAGCCTTGTGGGCAGATGCATGGAGATGAGATGCTGGGGGGATGATAATAAAACTAGCAACACCCATCTGTTGGGTTTATGGTATTCCTCAGGTGCCAGCCTGTAGCAAGGCACTTTCTAGACATCATCTCATTTAATCAGTGCTCCAGGGAGTGAGGACATGGAGGCCCAAAGTGAAATGAGATGCCCAAGATAAGAGCTAGGGAGGAGAAGCGTCAGGGTTTGGACTGGAATCTCCCTGACTCCACAGTTGCCTGTGGGCTGGGGGAGGACAGGATGGGATGAAGTCCTTGTACCTCAGCCTCTGGCTGAGAGGTACCCAGTGGGGTTCTCATTCCCAGGCTGTGTTCTTCCCATTCATCCTCTAAATTTGGAGAGGCTAACATGCTGAGCTGACTCCAGAATCCCACTCAGAACCCAACAGAGGGTAGGACGAAGCAGATGGGTGCATTGAGATTCCAAATGACTTGTCAAGTAACTCAAGAAAATCAGGAAGCTAATTAAGGAGGAAAAAAGTTCAGAGAGAGTTGAGTGTGCAAATATTTATGCAGTTACTGCTGGGCTTTGGGAGCAGAGGCATGGCTGCCTGCTGAGGCCTGTTCTGTTTTGGAAAATCCTTCCCCCTGGGGCCCAGAATCTGCAGCTTGACAGCAGCGGAGGAGGCCAAGGAGAGGCGTCCCTCTCTGTCTGCCTCTTCCTGTCTTCCCTGCGGCCAGTCTTATACCCGGGGCACACCTTCCCATGCCTTTATGCAACTCAGGGATGTACCAGAGAATTGAAACTTTCTCCCAAGCAAAGGTGTCACCAAGATGAACACAGTGTTGGTGCTTCTCAGCGGGATGAGAATAAATTGAAGCAGCAGGGTGAGCTGGGCGAAGTGAGCTCTAGTCACAGAAAGCCTGCTTCCATTCGGGGCTCTGTTGTGTCCCACTGGAGAACATATAACTGTTCAAACCTCAGTTTTTTTTCATCTGGGCTCAACAGGGCAATTGTGATGGGAGGGGCCCTTAGGTTCTGTCTCTCTCTGCTGTGGCGTTTTGATTCTTCCTTGTGTTAAATATTCACTTCTGTCTAGGATTTCTTGGACTTCTGGGATTTGTGTATTAGTTGTCAAGTAAAGCACAAGCCTTGCTCTGGGTAGATGCGAAGCAGTTCTCGATGCCTGGTGGGAATCCATTTGTGCAGAGAAAGGAAGGAAGTGTGTGTGTTCTAATAAAATTGAACCTTAATATACCCTTAAGTGGGTATAGACTTTGAAGTCCAAAGATTGGTGTTTTTGTTCTGGGTCTGCTGCTTAGCATTGGGTGACTGTGGGTAACCCTTTGGAGCCTCAGTTTCTCAAACTCAGGATGAGGTCATAATTCCATGTTGTGAACTTGGTAGGAAGATTGAATGAGACAAATTCCTGCAGAGCGTTTGGGGGCCCAGCACATGGTAGAGGCCCATCAATGGAAGGTTTTGCTCCCTGAGATGCTTCTTTGCAGATGGGAGATGAATTTCACAACTTCTGGGATCTTTTCACATTCCAAGCAGAGGTCTGAGTTGGCCTAAGGATCAAAGTGTCCAGTACAGAGCCTGGCTTATAGTAGATGCTCTATAGGTAATAGCTTCTGGTAATAGCATGCCTGTTAACCCACTTCTGGTTCCTGCAGAATCCCTAGTCCTCCATGTACAGGAAGCCTGGCAGAAACCATTCACCCCCCCCCTCACCATCACCCTGACCCAAACCAGTATCGCTATTTGCTGCTATCTGGTGGCTGGGGTCCTGGTTCTTTCCCTATGGCAACCATGCTCAGAGCTGGTATTTAATATATATGGGCTCAACCCTCAAGGACCACTGATAATATTTTACAGAGGAGGGAATTGGCATCCAGAGAGGCTAATTAACTTAACCAAGGTCACACAGCTAATAAGAGGAACACATGCTTAAGCGCTGCCCACTTAAAGATTTTGGGTGGTGTATGTCTCCTGTGACTTAAGCAGACAGGAGAAAGTGTGCATGTGTCTGAAACTGTGCTGGCGAGAGATATAACCGGGCGTTGGGGTGAGTTGTGCCCTGGCACATAAATATTGCTGACACTGTCTTTGCCTCTCCGTACCTCTTGTTAGTTCTCAGACCAACCTCCACGAAACTTCTGGTTAGGCCGAGGTTTGCATTTCCCAGCATCCCCTTTGGCTGGATGAA